AACCCCTAAACCCTAAACCCCTTCTGGGCCCTGGTTGCATTGGCCCCCGGACCTGGTCCAACTTGGTGGTGTGGAGGACGTACCCCTCGGGGCCGCAGGCGTTCCAGGCCTCTCATTTGGGGTTTAGGGTTTAGGGTTTAGGGTTTAGGGTTTAGGGTTTAGGGTTTAGGGTTTAGGGTTTAGGTCTCAAAGCATCGAAACCAGAAAAACACCCGCAAAAAATGGGATACGCTCGAAACTCTGGAAACCCCGACTATGGCCTGGGGCCCCGGATGGCTGAAGGGGTCGGGCTCGAGCTTGGATTTAGGGTTTAGGGTTTAGGGTTTAGGGTTTAGGGTTTAGGGGCTTTGGGATTTAAACGTTTACGGGTCTAGGGTTTAGGGTTAGATGGCTGGATTTATCAGGGTTCAGAGTTTCCGGAAACAGGTTCAGTGTTTAGGGTTTAGGGTCTACCATCACACCTACTAGTTGTGATGAATGTTGTACTCAAACCCCTGAGAACCTTCAAAAAAGCGGGAAAAGGTGAACACAAACTAGCTTTAAGAACGTACACCCTAAACCTGTATGAAAACATGAAAACTAAATTCTATTGTTGCTATTAGCAATACTATGACCATTATCATTACTTCTATTTTTACTATTAGCAACATGATTACTAGTAATATCATTATCTCTATGATTATGATTACTTTCTCACTACCATGGCCTCAAGAGCCGCCACGGCCACTGCAGCGCCATTGAGCCCACCACCGCCGCCCGCCATCGGGGAGCAAAAGCCGCAGAGTCCGCGGCTTGATCACAAAGAGCTCGCAGGGATTGAATTTTAATGATGAAATATCTTTTAGTTGGGGTTCCCTTATATGTTTAAAGGCTTCGCAAAACAGACCCTCTTCAGAGTTGCGTGTGGATTGCTAAGGGCTGTATAAGACTTGCGTAAGTCTTTGTAGAGAATCAAGGCAGAGAAGACCCAGAGACGCCTCAATCCCTCAGCCAAGACGCATTACTTGATTAAGGTTCAGGGTTTAGGGCTTAGGGTTTAAGCCAAATAAGGGATAATGAAAATTGAACAAAAAGTCCCCTTCAGCCAGACCTGACCCTTCAGAGCCCGAGACATTGATGACTCCATGATCCCGAGACCCTCTAACCCTGCACTCAAACGCCCTTTGCGAGATCCTAGATCCTCGAATCCCCAACCCTACACCCTGAACCCTCCCAAAGCCGACATGAGTTTGGCATCCACGCAATACCAAATCTGAATAAATAGAAAGGGTTATGGGAGAGCTTTGCGCTGCACTTGTGCTCCGGGAATCCGAAGAAGAAGAACAAAAAATAGAATAGGGCTGGGGTGTGTGGAAATGAATCTCTGCTGTGACCATACACGGAACATATATATCGGGATACGACCACAATTCCTCCGATATTCCAGTGCCTCTCCGTCGATCGCACCCAAGGCATACAACTCCTGCGGATGGGCTCGTCCGGGTGTAGGGTTCGGTGCTTTGGGTTTAGGGTGCGTGGCTTTGGGGTTTAGGATGTACGCTGTCGGGTTTAAGCCTCCCTGAACTCTTAAAGGGATCCTTTTTCAGGGGTCTCCGGTTTCAGGTGAAGGTGTCCATTAAAGATTTGCTTTAAGGCTTTCGTCAAGGGTTCGTTAAGGGTCCTCGAGGATTCTTTGAAGGCTGTCCCGGAAAAAAAATAGTATGAGCAAGTATGCAGGACCCTGTATTACACTCCCAAACCCGAAATCCTAAACCCCTAAACCCTAAACCCGAAATCCTAAACCCCGAAGCCCCTAAACCCGAAATCCTAAACCTCGTAAGAGAGGCTCCTCGAGGGCCAGCTCCAGCGCTTCGATGGGCGGAGGCGTTGGGAACTCGAAGCTCCCAATGTCCTTGGGCTTGTGGGGTTTAGGGGTTTAGGGTTTAGGGTTGAGGTTTTTTGGGTTTAGGGTTTAGGTTTTTTGGGTTTGGGGTTTAAGTTTTTGGGTTTAGGATTTAGGGTTTAGGGTTTAGGGGCTTTAGGTTGCGTCGGGGGGTGTGGGAATTTAGAGTTTAGGGCTTTCGGGGTCTAAGGCTTTGTAAGGGTTCTATGTTCTGTGCTCCCAGGCCGCAAAACGCACGGCTCGAGCTTTACATTCGAAACCCGAAACTAAACTTTTCTCCAAACAAAAATCACCAACCCCCCTGTCACTGGCACTGAGGCAGCAGCGTCCACGCCGAGGCACTTCAGCATCAGCACCACATCCTCGCCGGGATTCACTGGGGTCTTATTTGGCATGTTGCTTGGGTGTCCACGCACTCCGTGCTCCTGTGACAACCTTCAATACGGCCTTCGGAAGCCTCGATTAGGATCAACGTGAGCCGTGAGCTCGAAAGGACCTACGACAAAGATTCAGGTACTACGTTTACGCAACTTCTGACCGGAGAAAGCAGAGCTATAAGTGATGTGACTGCAGGTATGGTATGAATTGTCATGAATACAAAGTAGATCCCTAACCCCACTCACGGGACCCCCGACACAACGTGTAACTACCCATGTGCCATGAACCGTCAAGGACCAGGTCAAAAGTCTAGGGCTTAGGGACTCGAGTGGGCAGCTTGGGGATTGCGTTTTCTGGTGCCTTTTCCGTGTTTCGGAAGTCCCCGTGTGCCCATGTCATGTATGCAGGACTATGTATGTGTGTGTGTGTGTGTGTGCGTGTACATGTGTATATATATATATATATATATTTATATATATGTATGTATGTGTCATATACACTTGTGGTACTTCTCGGACATGTGACAGTGGTTGTTCGACAGGTTCGGTCAAAGGCTTCGTCGGGTGGTTTGCTTCCTATTTTACCTTTCTCCACCATTCGTCCCCCGTGCTTAATGCCATTGTGTGTGCGCGTGTCGTTTGCTCGTCGCTTCGGAAAGCACAAAATCGCTCTAGGCGTCTAGGCTCCTCCTGGTGTTGTTTGTTCGGTGGATTGATGTGCGCTCGACAATTCACGATTTCTTTGTCGGAGTCACATGGTTTTGCTGTTGCAGTTGTAGTATGTGTCATTCTGCATGAGATGCGCGGAAGGGGCACACGGTACTGAGACCATAACAAGACCGAGCAATGCCATCCACAACAACTATCTTACACCATCAGACCTTAAACCCTAAACCCTAAACCCTCCCAAAGCCTTTAACCCCTCAAGACTCGAGACCATAGACTCATAGACCTCAAAGCCTCAAGAAAACTATTTACAAAGCCCTAAGCTACAAAGACAGAAGTTCTATGTGCTATGATCCGGAATCCTAAACCCTAGACTCTACACCCGAAACTCCAAACCCTAAACCCAAAACCCTAAATCCTAACCCTGAACCGCAAACCCCAAACCCTAAACATGCCTAAACCTAAACCCCAAACCCTAAACTGGTTCTTATCCTTCAGATCGCTACGTTGGAGCTCGGGCAGCGTGTGCTCCAAGAGTTCCTCCAGCGGGGTTTTGACGGTGTTACCGGTCGCGTCTTGTGAATGCGGTTTGGGGTTTAGACGTTAAAGTTTAGAATGTAGGGTTTAGGTTCTAGGGTTTAGGGTTTAGGGTTTGGGGTCTAGGAGTTGGCTTAGGGTGTAGGGTTTAGGGTGTAATGTTTAGGGTTTGGGGCGACGGCAAAGGCTCATCAGATGGTGGGACGTGGGAAGTTTGTGGTTGCTGTTACCCTCTGCCCCGGACTGACTGGACTGGCCCTAGAGCCTTTTTTCTTTGAGTGTTTAGGGTTTTAGGGTTTAGGGCTTTAGGGTTTTAGGGTTTAGGGCTTTACGGCTTTAGGGTTTTAGGGTTTAGGGTGTAGTGTTTTTGGTTTAGGGCTGAACCCTCCACCCTGAACAGTCAACCCTGAACACTGAACCCTGAACCCTTGTACCGGTCTCCGGTGTGGCTCCTACACCTGTCCTTGGGCTTACGGGGCTTCCTTCCGCCCACCGTTTTCGCATTTCGAAGCCCCAAAGCCGAAGCCATGACTTCCTGTGCCTCAAAGCCCTGGGGCCTTCAAGGCACAGGATCTGAAAGCATGCTCGTCCCCAAAATGTGTAAGTGCCTCCAACCCCTCAGCTGAAACAAAAACCCCCGTACTCCAGACCGGAACCTAAGCCCTAAACCCTAAACCCTAAACCCCTAAACCCTAAACCCTAAACCCCTAAAACCCTAAACCCTAAACCCTAACCCCCAAACCCTAAACCCGGAAGCCCTGGAAACCCAATAG